GACCACCACTGCGCCTTGCTGTTTAGCCAAGCCCAGCCAGCTATGGAAGCTGGGCTATGGCGCTGACCACAGCAGCACCCTTCTTCTTACACGACCGCACATGCGAAGCACTTTGCCCCAGCGCTAGCAGCAGCACGCGAGCAATCACTCCAGCAGCGCTGCCACAAACTAGCAAGTGCCAGAATGAGCTGCCAGGCAGCGAACTCTTTCCTATACGGAAAGAGTCTGGCCTGGCCTGCAGCCTGGCTGGGCTGGGCCAGCGCCCAGAAGCTTCCGGTAGGGCCCAGGTAGCTGGGCCTCTGCTGCTGCTGCTGGGCCTCGTTCAGTTACGCCTCCCAACTGTCTGTGTACGTTGCTGCGAATGTGGCCCAGGGCCTGCATTTCAGAAAAGGCCTAGAAGGCCGTGGAAAGTACTTGCTGCTCGGGTCCTGGGTTCCCTCAACCAACTGACGCGGCACAACTGCCTGAGCCCCAAATACGAAATTGACAGTATTCGGCCTCTCGTGATTTGTTAGACCCGCCTTCACTTAGGGCAGGCACACTTGCATAAGGGGCCCCTTAGGCCTGCCGAGGAGCCACATCCTCGCAGAGATGTCAATTGCTGTGATATGCAAAACTCCATAGTACTTCTTTATGAATTCCGCGCACTGCGCATCTTTTTCGGACCATTTCTCAATTTATGTGTGCTCTCCTTTTGCACGGGTCATGCATATCTTCACTGTATCATTCCAATTTTTTTAACACATGATCCGGGTTCAGACTTCAAAGTCCAGTGTTCTTAGTTCTTAGTTCAAACTTCAAAGTTGAAATCATGGCTTATCCAATTCAAGTTATTCAGCGAACTGATTGCCAAATCCGCAGTTCTCTCTATGATTCATGGTAACCGTCCGGACGTCCGGACCGGTTCCAGACAGTCCGGTGTCCAGTGTCTGTTCCTGATGTCCGGATGGAGGCCCCTGGGGAGAAAATCAAAAACAAAAGGGGGGCAGCCCAGGACGTTTATCGGGTTCTGGCCGCCCCTCGAAAAATAACGGGGTGATTTTTCAGTGTCATTTCACCCCACCGGACAGGGCCTAGAGGTCCGGACACAAGACACTGCAGGTTTCTGGGTGGCGGGTTTCACACAGGCCCGAGCAATTTCAAGGCGCCCGCCGCTGCTGCCCATTGGAGAAGAGAGAGAGAGAGAGAGAGAGAGAGAGAGAGAGAGA